CCTGCTGGTCCCGCCACGTAACAAAATAAAATTCCCCCCCCGCCCCCCACGGATCGGATCCCGCTCTGACTGCCGCGCGGCAGAGCTCACGCCGCAGATGGCTTTTTCTACGCAGGGAGCTGAGCAGCAGGCGGCTCGTTCAAACGCTGGGCTCCAACGCCACCGCTGCTTCTCCGATTTCTACCCTGCAGCATGCTGTGGGTGCCCCCCGGCGCGATTACCAAGCAGTGGAGGCATAAGGTTCTTGTTCTCGATGTGCTTCAGCACGGCGGCGATATACTCTTTGCAGTCATCCTCCTTCCGCGCAAAATAGCCAAGTGCCTGTTTCCAAAGGTCCCCGTACAGCTCGCACACCTCGATCACCTTCTTGTACTGCCCGTTCTGCATGTGGTAGTGCATGATCTGCTGGAAACTGCGAGAGGGAGAGACCCATCAGCCCCAGCAATCCCTCCTTCCTCTCCAGTGGCCGCAGGGCCCCCCGGGCTCTGGCCAGCCGTGCGACCCCCACCCGTTCCCAGGGAAGCCCAGAGAGGGCCGGCGTCGCGCCCTACGTAACCGCCCGCTCTAACAAGGCGCTCCCAGGCGAGCAGCGATCCGCCGTCCCCGCCTGGAGACACTACGGAGGTGGTTCCCACTGGAAGGCAGGAAATGCCTGCGGTGGGGGCAGGGACAGGACTCCACCGACAAGAGCGACACTCACAGTTTGCCCTGTTCGTAGAGGTAGAGGACACCGTCCTTGAAACTGTGCATCTGACATAACACCAAGGCCTTGTCAAAGACCGTTCTGAACCTCCCGCTCTTCAGGAGGCTGAGGGCTTCATTGTGCAGCTTCTCCTTCACCTACCGAGAAAGGGGAGAGGTCGGGGAGGGCGACACGCACCGAGACCCGACAACAACTTCCAGCTCCTCCCAAGGGGAGGGCAGTTTTCCCCATGTGCCCTCTACCCCTTTTCAGCCAACAGGACGCGATTCCTTTGGCCCCAGACAGCCGGTGCCGGCAGGGATCTCGGCAAACAGA